GCGATTCTCGAGTTTTATAAAACGATTTCTCGAGTTTTATAAAACGATTCTCGAGTTTTATAAAACGATTCTCGAGCTTTATAAAACGATTCTCGAGCTTTATAAAACGATTTCTCGAGTTTTATAAAACTGTTCATTTTGTATTCTTGCGGAAAGTTTTGGCTATTAATTCCGTCGTACCGATTTTGACCCCAACATCCAGCATACCACAATCACTTAGCATTTGCTTGAAAGGTAAGAATGAACTGTCTGTGCGTTGTCTGCCTTCTTCTTTCTCCTCATGGCAGGTAATTTCATTAAAGTCACCAATCATAAACCAGGGTCCATTTCTTGTTGTTGAGAAACACATAAGACGTTCCCATACTAAATCTCTTCATTCTAAAACAGGATACCGATAAACAAACATCATGTTAACTTTTATTCCATGACTGCCTCAATGTCAATCATTCAGTTTTTTGAAAAAAGAACATTAGCTTGAAATTCATTCATAAAAAACAAAGCTAAACCTTCGTTGAGACCAAGTGGCTCAACGGTAAACAAACGATCAAATCCTAAGTCGGCCTGAATGTCTTGCAACAGCAGCCTCCTATTCTTCGTCTCAGAAAGAAACACAAGTCATGGGCGATGTTTCTGACACATTTCCGTAAGGCGTCGAACTGTGAAGTCGTTTCCAATCCCTCAACAGTTCCAACTGATTGTCTTCATGGATGATGCTTGGATGGGTTATTGGAACCCATCGAACCATCATTGTTGTGTGAACTCCCTTGTATCTTCTTAGAACTGTGATGAGAAAGGTGTGCCTTGTTCTTCCCTCTTTTTTTCCTATGAGATGAGGTTTTAGCTACCCTCAAGCGAGGGGATCCTCGACAGAGGACACCCGGTTTAGTAGCTTGATTACCAGAAGAAGCAATCATACGGCTTAAAGACCGTGAGCTTCTTTGTCTCTTGATTGCCGGTTTGCTCTACGCTCCATTCTCCAAACCAACGTTGGGCACTTCGCGTATGTCTAGTAGCTCCTCACTCAATAGATCGTCATCCTCATCATTATACTCCTCCTGAGCCATCCTGTTATCCTTTGCCTCCGTTGTCTCCATATCAGCAAAAGCTCCGATGACCTTTTCCTCTTTGCTTACAACCTCATCTCTTGGTGCGAAGGACAGGGAACAATTGACGCTGTTGTTGCGTACTGTCACATTAGTTTCCATAGATGATGTCCGAACAGGTGGTGAAACAATTACACTAGCAATCATTTTCCTATGAAGTTCAGCGTCTTCAATGTCCAACCCATCATCTGGATGAACATTTTCATCAATGTGAGGACCAGTTGTGTTAGTAGGAGGGAGTTCAAATGGAGCTGAGCCTCCCGCCTTAGCTTGCATCTCCGGAGCTTTATCATTAGACCTTCCAAACTCCCTCGAATCAGCTGATGACTTCTCACGCCACGTCTGCTTAGACTTTTGATCATATGGACCAAAAGTATGACGCGATCCATGGTAGCGATCATCTTGATGCTTCTCAGTCCTCCCCCTGATGATGCGGTCTGAGTTTTTATTATGCCTTGATCTTCCATACGCATGTTTACAGAGTTTGTAGCAGCATTCCATCTTGTGTTCTCGTTACCATGATCACGCGTAGTTCCCTTAGTTGCTGGACGTGACGAGTAATAAGAATCATGACGACCATTACGTTCATTGGGCCGCTCATGTCTTTTGTTATCAGTCAGCGAAGGTTGATCTCGTGCGTAAGGTGGTTGAATCCGCGCAAAGATGCCACTTTTTTCAGGCTCATGTCATGGGACAGAGTTGGTAGTTGGACAATAGCTTTTCTCATGTGACATTAATCCACATATAGTGCAATGTTCGAATAACATGTCATACTTGATATCTATGGTAACTTCCTCTCCTTCCGGACTGTGCACCTTTCTCTTGAACTTAAGTGGTCTCCTTGAATCAATGTGAATTAGCATGCGACCCTCTGTGAGCTCTAACGTATCCACATAACCTAATCGCCCTCCAATATCCCTTAAGTTGCGATCAGTCCAAAGGTGAAGGGGCATACCAGTTATCTGAACCCAGAAAAGTATAATTCAGGGATAATCATCATGTACTATTGGTTCTCATCGCACCAACACAAACATGCAATAATTATAGTGGAAAAGGCCTTTGCGAAGTACAGAGTTTAGATCCTCTTATGTGGTGAAGTTTATAAGAAACTTGCCATTTCTCAAGTCGTTTGCAGTAACTTTATCTTCCATTCTCCACTGAGCCGGCATCGTCTGTATTAACTTTTCGACAGTTTGCTTTTTGTGATTTACCAATAAGAGACATACGGTACTCTTTAATCACAAAAGCATTGTCTTGTTCCGTTAGTTTAATAGGCTCATCATCATCCTCATAGGCAATACCTTTGCCTTTGAGATCTTTCATAGTAAACCGTTGGTATAATATATAAACAACTTTCATATATAAAAAGCTGAGAGACAGCTTTTGTTATTAATCTCAACTTTACACCTTTCTTCTTACTATATCTAACGAATCTTCTTCTTCCCTTGGCCGGAAAATTATAACGGAAACACATACTCCTATAATGAACGGGTCCTTTGAAGGCGACGGATCGGCTCTGATATTCCTGGGAACAGGGTGTTCGAGCGCGGTCCCTAACGCAATGTGTTTGATCCAGAAATCAGAGTCTCCATGCCACGTCTGCTCTCAGTCTCTTTCGATCCCTCCAGATAGAAACCGTAATTACAGGTACATTACATTCGAGTGTCGACTAGCATATTGATTCAATCTCGACGAGCCTTTAAGATTTGTGTGTGTCATATGAATTTGATGATCCATCCTATAGCTGATTCCTACTTTATAGAGAGAGACTCGGTATTGTCTTTTTCATTGCAATAGTTATTCTTCTTTTTTTTTGGGGGGGGGGGTGGCAGGGGAAACACTTCACTCTTCATTGATTATTATTGCCAAAGCGATGGCAAACATAAATACATTCAAATCGATGTTGGCAAGACATTCAGGGAACAAGTCCTTCTTTGGTTCACTCTTCACAACATTCCTCAAGTTGATTCTGTAAGTCGTGAATCAATATTGTGTTAATCTCTTTACATGAGGCAAATTCTAAATCTTTAATTGTATTAATTTTCTTTTGCAGATAATTTTGACCCATGAACATGCTGATGCAGTCCTTGGCTTGGATGATATTCGTGCTGTGCAACCATTTAGTCCTACCAATGATATTGATCCTACTCCTATTTTCGTCACCCAATTTGCTATGGACAGGTACTAATTATTATATCTTTCATGATCTTTTCTTATTTTACCTTTTAAGACTTTGAAAGCTGTAGTGTCGACAGTCACATGCTTTTCTGAAAACAGCCTTGTTGTCAAGTTCCCAGAGATAAGTGCTGAGCGATCCCAGAGATGCAGAGAGGGAAACCATAGTTGCCACTAAGAGTTGGTGTCAGCATTTCTTCTCACTGTAGATTCAGGAACCTGTTCTTGATTTTTTTGAGACACCTAAAAAGTGAAATAGACACAAGATCTTGAACTGAGTAAAAGATTTAGGGAGGGTGTAGTTTATATGCTAGTACTGTGTAGTTAATACCAACTTTACTATTGCAAGCCACGAGATGAAATACCTTTTGTTGGAAAAAATGAGTTTTTAGCTGAAGAAAAACGCTGCGTTTTACTCTGGGCGATTTTGAAGGCGATTTGCGATCTCGGATTCTTCTTCGATGGAGACGGTGTCGACGCCGGATCCGCCTGGTTCATCGAGCGTGGTTAATGGGGAAAAGTCTGGTGAGGGTGATGGGGTCCCGACTGGGTTGACGGAAGGTAAAAGTTGGGTTTCGATTGCTAAGGAGAAGAAAGTTTTGCGAAGGTATGAGGTGGAGATTCAGGTGAAAGAAGGTAAACAAACAGTGGAGATCCCCGATGAGGTTTTATCGGATTCAACACCGTTGTGGGATGATTTTCTCATCGGTAAGTTTCTGGATATATCGCCTCATGTAGCTAAAGTTCATATGGTACTCAACAAAATTTGGAAGTATGGTGATCTGTCAGCGAAGATTGAGGTCTATGAAGTTAACGCTATGACTATGAGATTCAAAATTTCAGATCCAAAAGCTAGAGAGAAGATTATTAGAAGGGGGATGTGGAATATAGCCGGTGTTCCGATGGTTGTCTCGAAGTGGACTCCAAGAGCGGAAGAGGAGCCGCAAGAGGAGAGCTCTATTCCGATGTGGGTTCATCTTACGAAAGTTCCATTGCACATGTTTTCTTGGGAGGGGTTGAGTCTTTTAACGAGTCCTTTGGGAGTTCCAGAGAAGCTTCACCCTGAAACGATTGCGTGTTCCAGCTTTGATGTAGCGAAGGTATTTGTGAAGGTAGATGTGTCAAAGGTTCTGCCAAAAGAGATGAATTTCACTAGTAAGGGAAAGGAGTTCAAGGTGGATTTTTATTATCCGTGGCTCCCAACTAGATGTAAGTTCTGTGATAAATGGGGACATGGTGAAAAAGTTTGTGTTGTTAAGCGAAAAGATAAAGAGAAAGAGTTGGAGAAAAGTTTGGAGGAAAAAGATAGTTTGGCGAAAGTTTCTTCTGTGGAGGTGGTAGAGGAGAAGAAAGATGAGGTCTTCGAGACCACTGTAAAGGTTGCAACTGTTGTTAATGAGGATGAGGTCGTAGCGAATAAGGGGAAGTATGCAGAGGGTGGGATTGTGGAGAGTCCTAAGGATACCTGGTCTAAGATTCCTCAAGGGAAAGTAAGTAGATCTCAGACTAGTACGCCTATACGTACTGAGGCTGAGTTTCTGATTTCTGCGTCTAAGTATTCTGTGCTCAGTACAAATGTTGAAGATGAGGAAGTTATGGGTGTTGAAACACGAGTTGATGAAGAAGATGAGATGGAGGAATCTGAGATGGATAAGAATACTGAGGTTCGGGATATGGATGTATTGGAGGAAACGCTATTGGAGAGTAGTAAAGGGAAAGAGAAAGTAGTTAAGCAGAGAGGTAGGAAGAAGGGTCAGAAGAACAAAGCTCGGGATGTATATCCTATGAGTAAGAGGTCTTCTCGACAAAATCATTAATATGGTAGGGTTTATTTGGAATGTTCGTGGATTTAACAAGTTTTTGAAACATTCCGTTGTTAAAGAGTGGGTTCGCAGCTATGATATGAATTTTGGGTGTGTGATAGAAACAAGGGTTAAGGAGAATAAAGCTAATAATATTATGGGATCTGTTTTCAGTGATTGGTCAGTGATGACGAATTATGAATGTAGTCAAGGGGGTCGGCTCTGGGTTGTATGGAAGGATAATGTTCGTATGACTCCAGTTTTCAAGTCGGATCAACTTATAACATGTTCGGTTGGGTTGCAGGGTGAAGAGGAGGAGTTTTTTTGTTCTTTCATTTATGCAAGTAATGCGGTTGAGGAGAGGAAAGTTTTATGGAATGACTTGTGTGATCATCATTCTTCTCCTATATTTAGAAACAAGTCTTGGTTATTGATGGGTGATTTTAACGAGATCCTGGAGGGAGGTGAAAGCTCTGCATTCTCAAGTATACCGAGTGGGATGAGAGATTTTCAGAACATGGTGTTACGTTGTAGTCTTACTGATATGGGATATCAAGGACCTCTCCATACTTGGTGCAATAAGCGTGAGGAGGGATTGGTTTGTAAGAAACTTGATAGAGTACTGATGAATAATGCAGCTGTGTGTAGATTTTCAAATGGGTATGCTATATTTGAGGCGGGGGGCTGCTCTGATCACCTAAGATGTAGGATTCACTTGAGACCGGGGAGTGTGAAAATTAAAAAGCCGTTCAAATTTGTAAATGCTATTGGAAAGCTTCCGAGTTTCTTACCAATGTTGCAGAAGTATTGGGATTCCACGGAGGTTCTGTTTCTTTCCACGTCTGCTATGTTCAGGTTGTCTAAAAAACTTAAGTATCTAAAACCTTTGATAAGAGAGTTGGGGAAGAAGAATCTGGGAAACCTTACGAAAAAAACTCAAGAAGCGTATAGTTTACTGTGTGAGAAGCAGAAGAATACTCTGCTGAATCCGTCTGAAGTCAACGTCCACGATGAGGGAGAAGCTTATGATTCTTGGCTTCATGTTGCGGGGTTGGAAGAGGAACATCTTAAGCAAAAAGCTAAGCTCCATTGGTTGGAGGTGGGAGATCTAAATAATAAGACGTTTCATAATTCTATCAGAGTTCGGAAAGCTAAAAATGAGATAAGAGAGATCAGAAGTTCGAATGGTAGGAAGCTTGTGACTCATGAAGAGATTAAGGAGGAGGCTGAGAGTTATTTTTCGGAGTTTCTTAACAGATGTCCTGAGAATTATAAAGGTGTTTCTGTTAGTGAGCTGCAAGAGTTGATGAAGTTTAGATGTTCTGAGGCTGATTGCAGAAAACTTGAGCTGGATGTTACAGAAGATGAAATCCGAAAAGTTTTGTTCTCTATGCCTTCTTATAAATCTCCTGGTCCGGATGGCTATCCTAGTGAGTTTTTTCGAGTGGCCTGGCCGGTAATTAGGCATGATTTTTCCATAGCAGTTCAGTCGGTCTTCAAGTTCGGGTTTTTGCCTAAAGGTGTAAATTCCACTATCCTTGCGTTGATTCCAAAGAGGGAAGATTCGATGGAGATGAAGGACTTTAGACCCATTGCTTGTTGCAATGTGTTGTACAAGGTGGTCTCGAAGATATTGGCTAATAGATTGAAGAGTATATTGCCTACTATAATAGCTGCAAATCAGTCTGCTTTTATTCAAGGAAGACTGTTGCTGGAGAACGTTTTGTTGGCGTCTGAACTAGTAAAAGATTATCACAAAGAGTCGGTATCTCCAAGGGGGGTGATGAAGATTGATATATCTAAGGCATTCGACTCGGTTCAGTGGTCTTTTGTTCTGAAAAGTCTTGAAGCTTTGGGATTCCCGGAGAGATTTATTAAATGGATTCAGTTGTGTATCACTACTCCGTCATTCTCTGTTCAAGTAAATGGTGACTTAGCCGGTTATTTTCAGAGTTCAAGAGGTTTACGTCAAGGGTGCTCGCTCTCCCCGTATCTCTTTGTGCTCTGCATGAACACTCTTTCTCTTAAGATTGATGAAGCTGCTGAGTTGAGAAAGTTTAAGTTCCACCCCTTTTGTAAGTCACTTTCTCTGACCCACTTATGTTTCGCGGATGATTTAATGGTGTTTGTGGAAGGGTCGAGATCGTCGGTTCAAGGTGCTCTTTCGGTGTTTGATCAGTTTGCAGAATGGTCAGGTTTGACAATAAGTATTGAGAAGTCTACCATTTACCTTGCTGGAGTTCAGGAAAATGAAGAGAACAGAATCCTTACTAATTTTCCATTTGCTAAAGGTGTGCTTCATGTCCGTTATTTGGGTCTTCCCCTGATGACAAAGGCTATGAGAAGATGTGATTTCCTTCCTTTGGTTGAGAAAATTAGAAATAAAATGTGCAGCTGGACAAGGAGATTTCTCTCTTACGCTGGTCGTCTCCAACTTATTCAAGCAGAGATCATGAGTTTGGTGAATTTCTGGTCCTCAGCGTATTTACTTCCTAGTAAATGTATTCATGAGATAGAGCAGTTGTGTGGCGCGTTCCTTTGGTCTGGTCCGGCTCTAAAAACAAATTCTGCTAAGGTTTCTTGGAGTTCTGTTTGCAGACCTAAAAAGGAAGGGGGGCTGGGGATTAGGAATCTTAAATTGGTGAATAGAGTGAATGTTTTAAAGATTATATGGAGGTTGTTTTCTGGAGTTTCTCTTTGGGGAAAATGGATTGAGTGTAATTTCTTAAAGCAGAAGAGTTTTTGGGATATTAAGGAGAACACTCAAATTGGCTCTTGGATGTGGAAAAAGATGATAAAGTTGAGAGCTGTTGCTAGATGCTTTATTAAATGGGATATAGGTGATGGGAAAAGAGCCTCTTTTTGGTTTGATCACTGGTCGGATAGAGGAGTTATCATCAGTTTATTGGGAGAAAGAGGTATTGTTGACTTGGGAATTGTTCGAAAAGCCACAGTGGAGGAAGCTTGTTCTCGAGTTAGGAGAAGAAGGAGATATCGTAATCCTATTTTAAACGATATTGTTGATGATATCTTAGTAGTTAAGGAGAAGTTGAGACATGGAGTGGATGATGCTATAATGTGGAAAGGCTTTTTGGGTTATAAAAATAAGTTCTCAACTCGTGAGACTTGGTTGTTGCTGAATAATGCATTGGAGGATTGTAGTTGGTTCAAAGGGGTTTGGTTTTCATATGCGACTCCGAAGTTTGCATTTATAACCTGGCTAGCAATGCAGAACCGTTTGTCTACTATGGATCGAATGTCGAGGTGGAATCAAGGTGTTGATGTGGGTTGTGTTTTGTGCAAGAACGCGCCTGAGACAAGGAACCACTTGTTTTTCCAGTGTGCTTACTCCTCACAGTTGTGGGAGCATCTCACCAAAGGTGTTATGGGAGCAACCTATTCTGATGATTGGGAAAGCATTGTGGCCATTATTCAGGAGGAGAGAATTGTGAAAACCAAGAAGTTCTGTATTAGATATGCTTTTCAGGCAGCAATTCATGCAATCTGGAGAGTAAGGAACAGAATCAATCATGGAGAGAAAGCTATGCCAATGAATGTTATTAAAAAGATGGTGGATAAGGGTATTCGAAATAAGTTGAGTATCATGCGTGCGAGTGGTAAGAAGGATTGGGTGGAGGTTCTGCAATATTGGTTTTCTACAAGAGTTTAAAGCTTTGTTATCTTAAATTTTTTGTATAGTTTCATGGTTGGTTCTCTATTATAAAGGACACACTTGATGTAAGAAGGGTTTTTTTGATGAATAAATTTAACATTCATTCAAAAAAAAAACAAGTTCCCGTATCTGGTTCAGAAGAAACTTAAAGAAGGCCAAAAAGTTAGGCGAGTTACACAGCTGGATTGGAGAGTAATCGAAGAAGATTGTGATAAGCCATTTGTAGCTTCAGACTTATCATTCACGCCACTTCCAGTAAGTTCAGTAGAATTAGTGATTCATGTCTCCCTGCTTGATCTCTGTCCGGAGACTCAGATCTTGTTTATGCCGTTGGTGATGCATGGAGCAGACTATGTCTGTTTTGGTTTTATTTTTGGTGAAAAATCTATAGTGGCGTATATATCTGATGTATCACGCTTTCCTCTAAGCACCGAGTATGGTAAGTGTGTTACAAATTGCTTAGAGCGTGTGTGTTATTGATATTCTCAAAGAAGATGATAACTCAGACTCTATTGCCTTTGCATTATACAGTTATTTCAAAATCTGGTGGTGGACAGTTGGATCTCCTTATCTTGGATACACTATATAAGGTAACACATATCATCTTTATGCATTATTGTGTAAATTTTTGTAATGTTTTCACATTCTTTATTTTATCCTGACTGCAGACAGGATCCCACAACACCCACTTATGTTTCCCGCAGGTTAGCGTAATTTGAAGATGTATTTTTCTTTTTATGGTTGATATGTGCTTACTTTTGTTTTCTATAGACATTAGAGACGATCAAAAGACTGAGTCCGAAAAGGGCTCTTCTAATTGGAATGACTCACGAGTTTGATCACCACCAGGACAATGAGTTTCTTGAAGAATGGTCTAAAAGGTAAGAATTGTATCTGAAGAAACCATACAGAAGATAGGAGAAACGGTCTTCTTCAATCTGCGCTAGAAACGTTTTTGCTGTTTTAATATTTTTATCTTAAGTTGGGATCCTTGTATCTTTTTTACTTTGTAGTTTAGGATTTAACCACCCTTCTTTTGTTATCTTTTCACATTTTATCCTGATATACCTGTTAAAATAACAAAAGAAAGAAAAAAACAGTTCATCTTAAACACTACTTTATTGAAATTTTTGATTACTACATTATCAATCAAATTTATAATAGAAAATCTACTGAAAAATCATTCTTAAAAAATATAAAAGACCACTCGGAAAGCCTTGATTTCATATGGTTAATTATTTCGTTCTTGTCGAAGAAAAGAAAAATTATTTCTAGTCACGGAATCATTCTCATAGTGAACTATCAACAAATCAACAAAATACATGTTCAACTACAGTTACTTTTAGTTTCTGATACTAAGGCTTCTTCAGTAAATAGAGGAAAACTCTTGATAAAGATCCAGTTTATGAAATTTTGGTTTCGATCAAAATCATAAGAGAAACTCAAGAAATAACACCAGTACTAGGTAAGATCATAAGAGTCAGTCTCACGTTAGACGGGAAGAAAGTGTGAAACAAAACCGTTTGATCTGTCATAATATTTTCGACCGGGGAAAGCAAACCATGCATATGCATATCACAACCTTCGTCTTTATAATTTTGTCTCCATCCAAAGGTTCGTTTACAGACCCTCATCTAGGTTGTTGACACAAAAAGAAAAGCTAATCTAGGTTCCACCAATAACATTGATTAAGACAATAGGCAGACTGACAATAGGGTACCAACGGAGTTGTCCAGAAAAAAAAAGGGTACCAACGGAGTTTCAATAAGCTTGTCAAAATATTTTTGGGTAGTTGCTCTATGGACCCACTAGGAAGATATGTTTTGTGTCTCCATTTCTAAAGATTTTTTTACTCTCTAAGACACTTTTTGTCTTTGCTATTTCATTCTAAGACACATTCTACTTGAGACACTCTTTTTGGTGTTGGAAAGACACGAATACCCTCTTACCATAACTGAATCATCTCTCTTATTTTTCTTTCTTTTCTAAAAATTTATTTATTTACTTTTCCCATAAAAATACGTGGTCTTCCCATTCACAGATCCTCCTTCCTTTACCAAATCAAAAACCCTAACTGCTCGTAAGAAATCAGTTCCATTCTCAAAACTATGAAAAAAATAGAAAATCAAAAGATTCTTCTCATTCCTCAGATGCAGCAAATCCCTAATGAATCAATATTCTTTGAAACCCACTAGTTTTCTTATTCAGCTAAGGTGCCACTTACTGCCCAGATCACGCGTTCATTAACAATCTCCCACTTTCCTCTAGTTGGCTTCGATCTCAAGATATGAGAGGTTAGTCTCTTCCAAACCAACATCATATTTTCCAGGATTGTTGGTTCTCCAACTCTGTTTTGATCTACCAAGTTCTGATTTTGGCTTTTTTGGTTCACAGTTCCAAACCGATGCTCAGGATTTTGAGTTTCTAAAACGTTTTTACATGTTTTGAGATGATGACATGAGGAGAAACAAGATGGATTGTGGATTCGAGCTCGGGTCTGGCCGTGGTGAGTGAGTAACAGTTGGGCGATGGGAAGGATATGTTGTGTTTGCTGGAGAGATGAATTTGATAGAGAGCGTGAGGAAGCATAGGTGATGGTCAGGATTGTTGGTTTGAGAGAGATTATCATTGGTAAGAACATGAAAGCTTTGATCTTTCTGGTGATTTGACATCACATGACCACACATCACATGTCCACACATTGTCTGTCCACAAATCACCCACCCACACATCACCTATCCATGTGTAAGAAACTTTGTCCACATACATCTTGTAAGCTTATTCAAAAGAAAGTTTGAGTTTTTGATATGGGTTTTAGTTTTTTTTTAAGAAACCTTGTCCACAACTACTCAAGATCTTCGTGGATGGCCCTTAGCAACCACACCCACACCTCACTTTTTGCTAATAACCACATCCACATGCATTATCCATAACAGAACCATCCACTCCTTGCAAACCCAGACAATTAGATCCACACTTGCTCTGTTCGGAATTGTTTGGATTCGTGGTGGGAAAAGAAAAAGAGAAAGATGAGAAGAGTGAGGGGCTGACATGGTGAGGAGAGAAGTGAAAGTAAAGAAGCCCTTACAAAAGAGGTTAAATGCATTCACCTTTTATCTAATTTTTTTTTGTTTAATATGAACTGAAAGTCTAGTTTATAAAGAGTAACGATTAATATTTTTAACAGAGAATGAAGGAAAGAGACAGAGGAATGATAGAGGTGAAGAAGATAGTAAGGGTATTTTGGTCACAAAAGCTTGTGTTCACACATAAAAAGTGTGTCACATGTGAGATGTGTCTTATTGTGTAAGCAAAAGTCAAAATGTGTTCTTTTGTGTAATGCACTCATTTCTAAATTCTACTATGTTAAGTCAAACTCATGGTTTTGAACCTTTGCAAACTATATACATTTTTAAAACTAAATTCACATTTATTGGTTAAGTTAGTATTAGCAATGTGAAATGCAAAATGTCAAAAAGTGTGTGCGACGAAATGTACAAGTGGCTTTTTGACTTATCTCACACACCGACAACTAAAATCAAATTGACGCACCATTTCAACAAATCCCACTGTATGAATATGGCATGGCGGCCATTTATATATTTTGTTTGAACATTCTTTTGGCGAGTACAAATCTTTTCGTTGTTGACCAGTATGTGCATCACAATCACATCAACGTTGATTATATGTACAAAAAAACCAAAGTGTTCATTTTCACTATTTGAAGACGAAAATGTATTTTTAACGAATGAAAAAAGGAATGTTGAATGCGGTCAAATAACTTTTTCAAAGAGTCCAACAAGTATCATTTTCTCTAAAACTCATACGTGGACCATCACAAAATAGGCTAAGTGTATTATCATTATCTAAAAAAGTATTATTATTATTATATTGTAACTAACAAGTGTATTGTTAACAGAAGCAAGAATCATGTGATAAATGTATCACAAAACATGTTATAAAGTTAAAATTATATTAAAAATACATATTATGTTTGCATTTACGTTACGTTTCTACTTTATATTGTGAGAAACATAATAGGCATTCCATGTGCAACCGTCCAAAATAACTGACTGTAATTTTTTTTATCACAATCAAAGAAAGCTACTGATATGATGACACAACAAACAAAAATAAGAAGTACAGTGAAAAAATTAACGAAGTGTGGTTAGTAGGATCGGTTGAACCGTTGGAGAATGCTTGCTTTAGACATTCAGTCTTGTTATATTTAAATTTCAGATTCACAGTAACATCACATTTGATAACCAGAATTTACGTTACGGAAAGAAAATATCTCGAACAGAAATGTTTTACAAAAAACAACAACAAAGGGTTGATAATAATGACACTAGAACTACTATATTACACTCACATGAGTGGTCGTATTACATAGATTAGACTTAGTATTTATTTTTGGTCAAGTTTAGACTTAGTATATATTGTCAAATACTCTCAAATGTTATTTTCTAAGAAAAGCATGTCCATTTACATAAATAAAAAAATTTATAAAAAGAAGTAATCAGTCCCATCGTATAATTTTCTGTGTAAAAGCATGTCCTTAAGCAAATACTACTACTTGTGTTTCAAAAAAAAAGAAGCAAATAATACTACTTTAAAATAGATTTCTTTTGAGGAAAACAAGGTTAGTCTATAGGAATCTAGCTGAGCTTGAGCCTCACAATACGTACACGCTCGCCATTATTTATATCATTCGTATGTTTTGAATTTTTATAAGCGTATATCAGTATATATAAAAAGCTATAACTAATATTCCCAGCTTATTTAATTACAATAATACGAACAATGTAGGTGGTGAATGAGTTGTACTGCTGCCCGGTAGGGCACAGATCTTCTTCTGTTGCTATATAAAATAATTTTAATTGATTATTTTTTTCCTGGTAAAAATATAGATACCATTTATTCCTTCACTCAAAAAAAAACATGGTAAAACTATAGATACCATTTATGCCAAGTTAAATGTAGAAACAGTGGGTAGTCAACGGAATATATCTATACTGGTTACGTAAATAAGCGGAATCTTATCCGATAAATGAAAACTTCCATAATGAAAATATGTACAGTAATATTATTAAATAAAATTTTATAAGAGCGAACAGAGGTAGTCAACGGTCAAAGTGACAGAGAAACGTAATGCCCTAAAGCGGAGAAAGTGTCAGTTCGATTTGTTTACGTTTCAGTACTGATTTTGTATAATTTACATTGCATTGCGAATCTATACACAACCACTTCTTCGCTTTCTTTTATAAACCAAAAACAAAACACAAAACACAAACAGATTACAATTGCTTGCTCTGCATTTTTTTGTCACTATCATAATTACTAGCTCAATAAAAGATATACTATCATCTACTGTCACTACTGCTACAATTTGCTCCAAAATCAATTACTGCTACAGTTAATTATCATACATACTAGTACACAGAATATAAAACCATTTTCATTCCAAAAGTTTAAGTATTCAAATAAAAATAAAAACTGATACTGATTTCCATTTCAAAATTTGTAATATATTCTTACCTGATTAAACACATGCTAGCTTGTAAATGTTTTTTTCTTTCTATGAATTAAGAATTATTCATTATTTAGTAAGACCATCTCCAATGGTTTATACTATTTTTCACTTTAAAATAGAGTCATTCTATAATAGAGTTGAAGTTTACTCCAATGGTACTCTATTTTTAGAATAAAAAATAGAGTGATGAACAAAAAAAAAACAAGTTACTCTATATTTGGAATAAACATATTTTTTCACTCTATTATAGAGTGGAATATAGAGTATTATTGGAGTATTTTTACTCTAAAACTCTATTTTAAAGTGAAAAATAGAATGAGCTTGGAGATGTTCTAAGATAATATGTTATGTTTAGATTCTCATTTTGAGTTTGCGAAGTGTTTAAATGCTCTTGCATATACCGGAATTTCTGTATTTTAGACGGCATGCAAAGTATTCTTCTGCTGTCTCTTTCTTTCTTGAGATTTTATTGCACTGACCCAAATATGAAAATAAGTTGGTCCTTCAAAATTTTAGGGGTTTTGCATTTTAAATGACTGAATTCACAGTGACTAGCAAGGTCGGCTCTGGGGCATGCCTAGTGAAACATTCGCTTTAGGTTTCCAAAATTTTTGAAAAAGATCACAAAAATATAGGTCTCCAAAAAAATTTATTTGGCCTCCAAAAAATGTTTTCACATAGAAATCTCCATAAACCTTCAAAATTTCGAGGTGGGCCCTGTGAGTAAGTCAGTGACCCCAGAAAATAGAGTTCACAGCGAAAAAGAAATTATGGCTAGTGACGAGATGGACGGATGTAAATAATAAAATCCATTTTCACTACTCAACTAATCTACTCATAGACTTTTCAGATATCAGTAAATTGTTTCCATTTCTTTTTGGCATGTAGTATCTCAAGTTTTTCTCTTTTGTTGTTTTTGTTTCTGTATATAAGGAAAAACTATAAAATCGAAATCATTACAGTATGAAATTTCACCTAAAATTAAAATAGTTTATTTTTTACTCACTCAGATGAAACTTAGTGTATATAGTATTCTATCATACATCCACTATATATGTAAATTTTGAAATTATTTTTCTTATATAAAAATAATAATTGAAGTCGTTTTCGAGATTTAATTTGGTAGAAACAAAAAAAAGTATTCATGGATGAGAAGAGAACAAAAGTACTCAAAAATGTGCTGTAATTAAAACACAAAGACGAGTTAGGTGACGTGTCGAGATCAGAGCGGTGTATGATGATGAAATGCAAACTGTGGACCGGCGTGCACAGTCTCCTATTTTCTCTTCTTTTATTCTCTTTTTTTTTTCGCTAACACAAAAATACAAGAAAACAATTCCCTATATATATTAAAATACACAAGAAAAACTTTCTTTGTTCAATCATTATCTAAAAATTCCCAAAAACTCCATTAAAGAAAATAATAATGATTATAAGCTAGAAAACACCCATTTGTCTCTCTTCTTCTTCTTCTTCAGAGGAGAGAAGAAAGCTTGTCTAGTCTTGTCTTCAACTTCATACATATAAAGAGACAGAGAGACGATTTAGCATTGGCAATGGAGTATGAGAGGATAGAGAAGGTGCAGGTAAATTAATGAACTCCTATCTCTCTCTTTCTCAAAGTACAACATATCTCTGGTTTTCAATCTTCTTTTCTTTTGTACTTCTCTGTTTTGTTGTTATCAACATTACATAAAGTAATGTTTTTTTTTCACCTTAAAAAAACATTAATTTTATGTTTTAATTTTCATTCACTAAGTGAAAATACTGGATATGGACTTAGAATTTTAGCATCCATTTTGTTTCAGCGAGTTTCCTCTGTTGAAGAATTTATGGGAGAAAGAAATCTCTATGTGTGTGTTAGTATTTTTACTGTTAAGTTTAGGAATCTTTCATCCTTTTTCTTCTCCGTTCAGTGAAATAGTTTTTGCTTTTATCAGAATTAAAGTGAATTTGTTTGTTCTTTAAACTATTTAACTCAAGAAATTGTTTAACAAGTATAGGTTTTATATATCTTGCAGAAGAGCATAATCTCGCCAACGAAGCTGAGAATGAAGCTAATGGGTCCACAGAATAACAAGAAGAAAGAAGGATCCAGCAATAACTCTTCAAGAACATCTCCTGTTCGTCTTCAGGTTTCAGATGTCACAGAATTCTCCAAGAACTGCTTGTTAGCGTCTAAGTCGGACTCAGAAGACGATGATCATGGTTTGTTCTCTCATCTTCCATATCTCAGTTTGATAATTTAATCATTTCTAAGTCCAAGAAACGTACGTCAAAGTCTCTGTCTTTGCTCTGTTCTTGACTAAAGCTTGTCTTTTTTCCCCTGTTCTTGTTTGCTCTGTTTCTTGTCTGTTTTGGTTATGAAGAACACTTGACTAAAGTTTATGTCTTGTTGTGTGTGACTTCTAGTGGCGGCTTCAACTACTGATATAGAAGTAGCTAAACTACCAAATGCACCAGCTTTGGAATTGGACCTAACCGAGAGCAGTAATCAAGGTGGTATGAGAGAAACTGATCAACCAAGACCCCAGCAACTCAAAAAGGGTGAATTGAATATGGCTCTAAGACCACAAGAAGATGAGAATCTTGATTATGACAGTAACGCTAGCTCTTCAAGCTTCGAGTTCCACGGTGTTCGTAATGAGCGTTCCACTCAAGGCCATGCCTCAAGAGCATACCCTTCAAGACAAGTCCCATCCAAATGGAGTGATGCTGAGAAGTGGTTAATGAGCAGACAGAACATGATGATGAGGAAGAACGGTCAAGGGAACCGGATGCCTGTGAGAGTTGTGCCTGATAATACAGGCTACGAGCATAACAAGACTAGAATGGAACCGTGCCAATCCTCACAAGCTGACGCGTTCGAGAAGTTCCCTAACTTTGTTCACACGGCACCACATCCAATTCTAACCAAAGGGTATTGTGGAAACTTGTTGATCGATCAGTCCACCCAAAGCAATGATCATTTGGATACAACAAAGGCTTCATCACATTGTAACACAGCAGGTAATAAGATTAGCTAAACTTTTTTTGCTAGATTGTTGGGGATAGCTGATTTTGACAAGTGTTGTAATGTGTGAAGCTGGTCCTGCGATACGTTCTGTATGCATGAGAGATATGGGGACTGAAATGACGCCAATACCGAGTCAAGAACCTTCAAGATCTGTCACACCAGTTGATGCAACGACTCCTCTTCGCAGCCCTACTTCTTCTCTGCCGTCTACTCCTAGAGGAGGCAAACAAGAAGAGTCTTCTGTGTCCGGAGACGCGTCAAAGAACACAAGAAGAGACTTATCTGAGGAGGAAATGAAAGCTAAGACGAGAAGAGAGATTGTAGCTCTGGGAGTTCAGCTTGGGAAGACGAACATCGCGGCTTGGGCGAGTAAAGAAGAAGAGGAGAACAACAACAAAAATGTAGATGCAGAGGAGACACAGAGGATTGAGTTTGATAAGCGAGCAAGTGCGTGGGAAGAAGCAGAGAAATCAAAACATAACGCAAGGTTTGTTTGCACTCTTTTTGACCTTAATAGTAGCTTGTCTGTGAAGAAACATAAAAGTTAAAGATTGTTTTTAGGTATAAGCGTGAGGAGATCAGAATCCAAGCTTGGGAGAGCCAGGAGAAAGCCAAACTTGAAGCAGAGATGCGACGTATTGAGGTATATGAAGCGTTTTCGGATAAATCTTATTCACACCGAAGTCACTGCTAAAAGCATTGTTAAAAAACTTGTGTTGGTAGGCTAAAGTTGAGCAGATGAAAGCTGAAGCTGAAGCGAAGATAGTGAAGAAAATAGCAATGGCTAAGCAAAGGTCAGAAGAGAAACGTGCTGCTGCGGAAGCTAGAAAGGCTCGTGATGCCGAGAAGGCAGCGGCTGAAGTCGAATATATCAGGGAAACCGGTCAAATACCAGCTTCAGGTTACAAGATATGTTGTGGTTTGCTCTCATGAGTCGTGCTTATTTTTGTCTATTTTTGTAAACTAGGAATGGATTTGTGTGATATATATAAAATGCATTTCGTGCTTCATAGGTTCCGAAAGATAGTGGGAAAGATTGTGTGTTTACGTTAGGTTTTTTCCATTGCCTTAAGGAACAAGCTAAACCAGAACTGATACACAAATTATGTAGGCCGGATCACGCAAACCGAACAGCATTTGGGCTAGTGGCCTTCTATACACTCGATTTAACTTATAGGCCTTTAGAAAGTCCATGAGTACTTCTGGTCTTTGTTAACCCAATGATCAGTGTTATTAGATCATATATTGGGACTGACAAATGTCCGAGATGCTTTAGATTAGGTCTGTTTGTAGTAACTAGTAAACAATAGATTGAATCACCAACTATGAATTATCATAGTGGTTACAGTTATATACTATCTAGGGAAATTGGACTCTATGACTAAAAAAAAACATATTTCATTCCCTATCCAAAAGCTCTCCCATATACCGATACATCGTGATGTATCTATATTATGTATAATTTCCTTTCTATCTTTCCACACAATCGGTAAAACCTGCAATAGTAAAAAAAAAAAAATAATTGCATAGATTGGGAAAGAAATACGTGGACAACCAAGATTCACACCCTCTCTCACAATAACTTCTTTCTTCGTAAGTTTTGGAGAAGATGAAAAGGTTTTGGCCGAAATTTTGTGCAACCGCGACATCACATCTGAGAAACCCGGTAGTTTGTGACTTTTCGGCAAACCGGATTTCTTGGACTCAGTTTTCTTTTGCATTATCGTATCTGATTCCTGAGAAACCACGGCAAAACCGACGAACTAGTTGAATCCGCAATTTCCGGCGAAAAGTTGTCAATTAAACTTACGTAATCTTTAAAAAAAATTCATCCCCCTCCAGCCTCCGGTAAATTCTGTTTTTCAGTTCGTTTTACTACCAGTAAAACTGCATGTTTTACTTCTCCTTTCCGGTCAAATGTCTGCATGTTAGTACCTTCCAAGTGCTAAGTCAGAATGTCTCATTTCGGATTTACTATTCTAGTATATAAGTCGGGTTTATTCTATTCGAATTTACTATTCTATTCAGATTTACTATTCTGTTATTGTGCATGTTATTCTTCTTTGATTTTGTGTTATTTCATATTTGAATTGTTATAAGGGTTTCAATTTTAAAAGAGGCTATTATTATCATTCATTATCGCTTCTTGTTATCATTGTCTTTTTCCGGGTTGCGTACTCTTTTTTTCCCATGTACGTTTACTATTGCCTTCCATAGTTGTATTGGTGATGCAACCTAGTTGATTATTGTTTGCTTTTCCACTCTCCCCTAACCGTGTGGTTTGTTGTAGTAGATCTTCTGTAGTTAAAGGATATTAACTTCCTCTTACCTAATTATACATTGTTCTATTCTATGGGAGATGTTCTATTCTATGTACATGTTTTCATATTATTTTCAACTCGATATGCCATTTGATGTTTGTTCTATAGTAATATCATTCAACGACGACTCTTGTTTCAATTTTATTCTTCAGTGACATGGTTTATTCTATTTCATATTACATATGCTTTATTCTATTTTAAATTTATGACACCTCTATCAGAGAAGGGAGTCAGATGATTCGCCGGATCGGAAATCAAAAGGCATGACACCGGCTTATCACCTCCGTGAATAACTCTTCATACTTAGAGATTCGTTCGTGACTGGAGAAATTAAGAACTTGGACACATGTAGGGTCGGATCTCAGAGCTGGTATTTGTACTTCTGCGGTTTTTTTTTTTCTGTAGCATGTGAGAATCAATATTTGGGGATGTTTTACCCCCGAATGTTGGAGGATCTCTTGTTTGTTTCGTTGTTTCTATTCCATTTTCTAGCTCATTCCATATGAGTGAGTCTGTAAATGGAATAGACTTGTAAATATGGACCAATGTATAAGTATATGGATTTATTTATAATTGGAATAGGCTACTGATGTCTGCTCAAATGTTTATTTCTAAGGAGCAACTTACTCTCCAAATAAGAGATCTGTTGAAGTACTAGAGTATCAAATCCACAAGGAGCTAGGGAACCTAATAAATCTAGTCAATTAATAATCTAGGTGAATATAAATAGCAAAAACAGTAAATAAGTAAACATGAAATATTCCAATCAAGCAAGACAATTACTTAATCGAGAATGGAAGCAAAGACTCTTGAAAATAAAATGGAAAAGATGCTAGACTCAGGGTATTTATTCAGGTATTGGAATTATAATCCTATAGGAGCTATTCAGTTGCTTGCGAGATACTATAGAGCATTAACTATCTTGTTTTACTAATTCATTAAACTGTTGTTCAAATAAATAAGTCTTATGACCAGCTGGTCGTACTTGACAGCGTCGAACGATTATTCAGTTGGAACATCAATCGATACACTAAATTCATCATTGATCGACGGAAGATCGATCGACGAGTCCGGTCAAGCAATACACGCAAGTTAACATAAACTCACTAAAGACTTGTAAATCAAACTATCACTTAATTTCTAACAATCTTAGCTTAATAGGGATGTGTTCAGGACTATCAAAATTGCTTAAATATCTATAATTCAACCTAAGTAATCCAGGATTCAATGTTTCTAGCTAGCTACTCTAGAGCCATGAGCATTAAGAACATCCTATTAATAAGTATCACAACTAGCAATCCTATAGTTGGGGCTAATCCCTCTAACCTATTTCAACCCTAAAGCTAACATGTAAACTACTCAGACATAGCTAAGCAATTCATAACACAAATAGATAGATAAAACTGCATATTATAAATAAATAGATAGGTAAAAAACTCTGGAGTTCCAATCTCAAATCTCTTTGATTATCCTCTCTCCAAACTTAAAACTCTAAAACTTTGCTGTGAAAAAAATAGGGTAGACGATCTATTTACCCACGAGAACTATCATATAACATCAGATCCCCACCAAACTATGACCTCATGCTAGACTCCTACAGATTGAAAATTGCAAACTTATTTCTCTCCGAATTAATACTTCAAAACCTAATTACCCACATACAATGGTTTTAACTGGTTTTAGTTGGTTTATTATTAACCAAACATCTTAAAACTAAGTAAACCAAATCAAAATCCAATTAAATTCCACCTGAATTACCGTAAACATTCTTATGTATTAATTCTAATGGATTTATTTTACAACTGAAGAAGATTTTGTTTTATTTAATTGGATTTTGGTTTGGTTTACCTGATTTTAAGATGTTTGGTTAAGAATAAACCAATTAAAACCAACGTGTGTGGGTAATTAAGTTTTGAAGTACTGATTCGAGGAGAAATAAGTTTGCAATTTTTAATTCGGGGAGAAATAGGTTTGCAATTTTCAATTCGTGGAGATCTAGCATGAGGTCATAGTTCGGTGGGGATCTGATGCTATATGATAGTTCTTATGGGTAAATAGATCTTCTACCCAAAAAAATACAATAAAACTCTCTATCTTCCTCTAACACTTTAGCAGCGTATATAAACTTAGGTTAAACTCGTCAGGGGTAAACTCGTCATTTGGTGATGATTGGGCTTTAAGTCAACTTGTCTCACGAACTGGCTTCTGGGTCTTGATAATCGACCGATCATGCAGGTTGCATGTCGATTGATCCGAGTCTCTCTGTGTCGATCTCGTGATCGATTTCAAATCGAATGCTTCTTCCAATTCTCTCCATAATGCTCCAAAAACATCACTTTCTTCCAAAATACTTCTGAACTCATAAATATGTGTAAAAGCTTTTATAATATAGTAAATAGTAGTAAAAACACCAATATACCATGACTAAAACATGTCAAAATCATGGTATATCAGCTACATATATTTTAACAAAATAGTACAACCTTTTGATCGCATAGTATGTCGAGATGCAGTTTTTTCGTTAGTCGCCGTCACATACACATTACCGTCAGGTAGTAAGGAATGATCGAAGATGATGAACATTTATTTTCATTTTATGTTCTATACTCTTGTATACATATATAATAGACATGAAATGCTATATATATATATATATATATATACTATATTAGTATTTCCTCTGTAAAATTCGCACCGCGACTATCACAATCACCACTTCTTTTATTGTTGCCACCGTATATTCATCACCACGGCCAACACCCATGTTTCATCACTTTCTCCCACCAACTATTCTTCTTCTCCATTTTTCATGGTGGTTTCTTTCTTCCTTTATCAACTCCAGATGACACCAGCTCTTCTGTAAATCATATCTTGATATTTGGGTTAGAGTTATTTTCGTTAGCGTTTAGTGATTAGTGTTTTGGGTTTAGTTTATAGAAGGTTTGGGGTAAGCATTACATACTCTATGCAATCATATACATTTCAAAATTTGAATAATATGTATGATGCTATTTAGTTTTTTTCCTATTCTATTGCAAAGGGGTTGTTCTATACTATTTTGATTATATAGAATGTGAACTTTGGTTGGGTTCTGATTTATTGATTAAGTTAGGGTTTATATTCAGATTTAGGATTTATAGACCATAATTTAAGGTTTAGTAACTAGGAGTTGGGATTAGGGTTGGGGTATTGCTTAATACTTAAGGGTTGAGAGTAGAATTAGAGTCTTGTACTATTTTGATGATACAGAATATAACAATCAATTACTTTATCATTTATTTGAAGTGTTATATTTTTTATCTATATATATTTACTGTACACGGTGACAGAATTTATGTGGTAAGTAAGTCTATGGTGTTGGGTTTATTGAGTAGAATCAGAGTGACGTCATTCTCTTCTTTTCGTTACGTATGAAAAGTTCACACAAACCGTGGGACAAGTAAGTTGATCTCAACGTCATCTCTTTATTATTTTGTCACCGGTAACTTGAATCAACAAAGGATAAAACTAGAGTAAATCAACGCTAAATGTTACCAATTCAACTACGTCAAAGTCAATGCCACTCTCTTAATTATACTTCAGATTTTAGCAATTTCACAAATTCTCCCCTATTTAATACATATCTTAGATTTTTCTTAGAAAAATTAGAGATGGTGTAGATCCTAAAATCTACACTAAGTATTTTGTAGTG